TTAGTAGGTGGTAATAATTGGTAGGTATTAGATAGGTAGTAGTAGTAATAGTAGGTAGTAGGACATAATATGAATAAATGACACAAACTAAACAAAGAAAAAGTATCATGTAATGGTGAAGCTGCTGCATGCCCCATGGGCCATCTCTCAGTGGTCTTACCAACAATCTGATAAATAAACCAGTAGTTGCCAACCTTATTTTTATTTTTTATTTATATTATGTTGGCTTTAAACCTGACTTACCAGATGATAACATGAATACCTTTTTTATATACGAAAGATTAATATTTTTTCTTTTGTTATGTTTGTCACAGTTTCATACAGTTTTTGTTTATGTGATAAGAAAATAATAGCTTAATGTTCATAAATAAACGTACAAGTAAGAAAACAAGAAGCACGTATTAATTTATTAATCAATCTGTTCAGAAAATAAAGTAATACAAGTAAAAAGTAATAAAAAATTCATCTACTACCTACTTATTAATACCACCTACTAACTAAAATTAAACAATATGAGCGATGGTAAATATAAATTAGAATAAAGCTTAATAATATTATCTGCTGCAGTGTTATTTTAATATATATATTACATTCATTTTATTCAATTCAATTAATTGTAAATATAATAGTATTTATTATACTTCACCTTTATATAATTTTGTCAATAAATTTGAATACCTATGTTATAGAACAGATAATTGAGCACAGGCTTCTCATTGATGGCGATGGAACTGGCGATGATAGACGTTTAAATATTTTGTTAAAAAAGTTTTTAAAATGGAGCAATACTGAGTATACTAATCTTAATGAAAGGTAAAATTGCATACCTATTACTTATTACCTATAACTATATTATAATATTGTTATACTTGAAATAATTTTTAAATATGCATGTAAACATACACAAAAAACTGACAAAAGATAATCTCATAATGTATAATAAGATTATTATTAGATCATTAAAAGATTATTACCTACATTATATGTAGAAAACATGCACTTTTTTTTTAAAAATATGAAAATCAAAAACAAAAATGTACCAAGTTATTTATTATATGTTCTATAGATAATAATTTTTTTATGGCATAAAATATTAAATTTTCCTTTTAATTTGTTATATAGTCAAAAAGTTATAGAGATAATGTTAGTTCATGCTAATTTATGTGAGCTGGCAATCAAGAAATCGCAAGCTGTTTCTAGAAGGATTGATGAGGAAATGTCAACAAGTGATGGTGTGTCTGTGGAAATTGATCATAATATACAAAAGATAAAAAATGATATTATTCTTGCTAAAGAAGAACTAGAAAAAGCCAAAACTTTTAAACGCAACCAAATGGAGTATGATGTGTTGATAAAAAATATTCGTCAATATCCATCAAGAGATGAAACTGCCAAACGTTTAGAAGATTTAAAAGACGAAACCCAAGCACTTAAAGTAAATATATTAAATAATTATATAATCATAACATTATTATTTATCTATAATGTATTTTTAGAAGGCAAGAGATGGCATAGCTAAAAAAGTAAACAAAAAAGTAAACAAATTGCAAGTAATTTTGGCTGCAATTGAGAATCTAGATGAGAGTTCAAATGAAGATTCAGAACCAGAAACTAAGTCAAGTGAGGGAGTTGATGATAAAGATTCTGCCATGTCAACAGAAACAGAATAATAATAATAGTATATCGAATACCTAATATTATCTACTCAAACAAGTTACAATAGAATTTGTGTAATATTATATTCTTGAACACTTTATTTTAGACATAATATTATACACAGCTTTAATGTGTTAGAAAATAATATTAATGTAGAAAACAAATGAATCGAAAATAAATAGATTTCCACAGTGCTCTGATTAGGAAAATAAAGAGAGAGAGATTATAGAACATAAAATAAATTAGTATTCCTTACAATTGTTGAACTTTTGTACTAGCCTTTGCCCAGACCATCAACTTTAGAGGTAATGGTTTCTAGTAAAATGTTTGTCTTTCCGATGCAATGAGGTGGTTATTTTTTGATTTTCTTTGTAATATTCTTAATCATGAGGAACACTCTAAAAACAGTTTGTTTATTATAAATTAATCATAGAGGATAGATTTTTTTTACTGAATATTTAATAGTCTCATATATACAGCTCTTTCCAGAAATGATATAATTTTCAAAAAAAAAAAATAGAAATTATTCAGTTAAATTTGAAATTATTGAGTTTTATAGTATTTTATTTGATTCATGTAATACAAATTGTTTTGACCCAGCGAAAATGTTCCAAAATTTAACATTAGATTTAACATGATTTGCAATTAGAGGAAAAGTTCAGCATAATTTTATATTTTTTTTTTTATACAAACAGTAAAAGTAAAATTTTAATGATATGCAAAATATGTACCCTTTCATGAGTGGCGGATCTGAGGGTATTAATTTCCTAGTCACCCCTCCTTGTATCCACCACTGCGTCTCATATATTCTCATATGTTCTACTTCAAACTTGTTTCTACTTCTATAGTAGAATTATGCAAAAATGTGTGAAAAATTTGCTGTGATACTCAAATCTTCATGCACCCTCTAATTCGAGCACTAAATTTTCAAAAATATTTATATCCAAACATTTCAATGTTCAAGATTTTTAAATTCTGATAGTTAATTTTATGCTATCGCTTTTTTGTTTTTTATTTTCTGACTTATTGTATTCTACTTTAATTTTAATAAAAAAAAGTGTTTTAAATGTTTATATTACATTTTAATTTTTTTTTTTCAGAATTGAATTACATAATTTGATATTAATAATAACTAGATTGATATTATTTGTTAAATCGAATAACAAAATAATAATTACTTTGGTTTATAATTTTATTAATTTTTGTCATTTATTTACTATTATATCTATACAAAATAAAATAACTTAATAATGTATGATTGCTTAATTAATATACTTTATTGTATATAAAATGAATATTTTCCTAAATTACAACTTCTTTTAGATAATGACAAGTGGCTAACCAAAACACATTGGTTATTCAGCATATAATATAACATTATGAAAGCCATCAAATTTTGTATTCTACTAGTAGATACTTATATATTATATTATTTTATGTTATTAAAATTCAGGAAATATTTTTGGTTTGGATTAATATTGATGAAAATAGACAACTATAATAGGAACTAATATTAAAATATTAAATATAATATTAAAACTGTAACCATTTTTTATATTTTAGTCTAATAGTTTTCAATTTGAAAATAACAAAATTAAATTTGACTAATAGACAACATACAAAATGTTTAAAACATACCAAATTAGTTTGTCCAGGTGAAAATATCCATATAACCAAGTTATTATTTAAAACAATAAAATATGATAAAATAAATGTAAGATGATTCTTTTTTGGGCAATGATGGGAATTTTAGTTTTGACATCCCCTAACTTTATTTTAAAAAATAAAAAATATTAAACCCAATAAGGGCTTCCTAGGACAATTCTTATGTCCCCTGTAAGGAGGTAAATTTTCCCATTTAAAATAAACTGTTTCTATGTATTCTAAATTTCGTTTATATAAGGTATAAAGGACAGGTTTTAGAGTATAGCCAGGGGATATGGTGTCCCCTATTGGCCTAGGCAAATCTGACTCCACAAAAATTGACTTAATTGCTATTTATGTGTATGTTTTAAATTATTAATATCCAATTTATTTTATATTTCCTTACCTTGAATATTGATTATTAACATTTTTATTATTTATTGGAAAACTAAATATTTTTTATTCATACCAGACCTGTATTTTATTGTATTAATTTATAATCATTACAAATTTCTATTTTTGAAAATAATAATGTAAACTAGATCAATTTTATTTATTGTATTTAAAACCAGTGAATTGCATTAATTACTTTATTAGTGCCATAGGTATTTTTTTTAATCTCTTCGTTAACCCACCTACAATAGCGTTTGGACCCATCCCCAGTATGAATTCAATTTTTTTGTAATTATTAAAAATAATACTAATATCATAACTAATTACCTAGCTTTCTTCATATTTTTCCAGAATCTATCCACGAAAACACCTCCCTCGAAAATTCCTGAAAATGATTCTAATCCTAAAGACCTAAAAGGCTGACATTTTGCAAATAGGTTCAGGACCAATGGCAATATAATAAATAAATATTAGTAAATAATGGTAGGTAGTTCAAGGTTGGTAAGGCAAAAATTAATTATAGAATTTTCGAGAAAATGTCATAATGTTCAAGAATATAGGCAGTATAATGTATTTGAACAATCTAGTTTAATTGCACTACTAGATGGGAAGTGTAACTTCATACAATTTCCAAACCTCTTACAAACATAACTGGAACAAAAACCTAAATTATTATTCATAATACTGCCAAATTTTATATCATTCTTTAGTAAAACATAAGATTTGTATTTCTAATTTTAACCAATTTTACATAAATATTGATAAATAATCATGCAACTTGTCCGCATGCCTGCATTTACGGTCAACTTAAATTTTAGTGTTAAAATTAAAACTAGAACTTCATCACAGATTTAAAAATTTAAAGAGGAGAATATTTTCTAAAGCTCTTTTACTGAAATATTGTCAATCAAAAATGTTGTAGCTATACAAAATAAAAAAATATAATAACAAGAACTAATATGAGTGTAACTTAATTGGATATTATTATTAGAGTTGGGTACTGAGGCAATTTCATAGTGTACTATTATTTTACATTATTTGTGATTTATAACTAAATCTGATTAGAACATCACACATTATAACTATGTTTGTGTGCCTAATACTTACTTTGTTTATTAGATATAAAATAATTTAAAAATGTTTTGATAAATTATAGATTCTTGCTTTTCTATTAAAATCTATACAATTTCTTTTTCAGCTTTTTGTGAAACTTAAGTCATCTAGCCACTTTTAATCATAAAATAAATAAATTGAAAATTATGGTATATAAGTCTGATAAAAAAGCTGAATTTGTTATTGCTCAACTATTTAGTTTTCATAAAGAAGAACTTGCAAGAAATTACAAGTATATGTCAAGTTTGATTTAAATCATTTTACACACTGTAAAACAAAACATTACATTTAAAGGACATAATGAAGGAATCAATTCAATAAACCAAAGTAAAAATTTGAAAATAAATTAGTATTTGGGACTTGAATTTAATTTAATCAATAACATTTTAAACATTTTTGTCCATTACTTATTTATTATTATAAATTCTCAATATTATATATTTTTAACAAGTCAAATTTAAGAATAAACACAAAACAAAAATTTGGTAGTACATTATTCTGCTAAATTAAATAAATAAGAACCTAAAACATCAAATTCCGTCCCATTTTACACAGAATCAGAGTGTCAATAAACATTTCCATGTTAAACTGGTATGGTTATAAATTGTGTTTCTAATTAGTATAATAGGAAAACTACATTGTTTTGTTATTATTAATTTATAGATTAGATTATGTAAAATATATTATAAATCTGTTGTGGCATATTTAAAAATTTTCAAAAAGCACTTAAAAATATTTTAAAAACTAAAAGTGGTAGAGGTTTCTTAAATTCTCCCTCTAAGAGTACTAACCCTATTAACCCTTTGCGGTATCGTGGTGTTATAGTCAAACCACCTATTTTTTGTTTCTTTTTTATATGTTATATAAGTGCTACATACCAACCTACTAATTTATTTAAAACAAATTACTTTGTGATAATCATTTATGTATTGTGTTTAAAAAATATTTTTAATAAGTAAGAACCATTTAGAAGTTAGGAGGTCTTTTAATCTCCTCTACCACTTTTTTTCTTTGAAATAATTTTTAAAAAAATTTGTATAACTTTTTTGATGTTTTTTTAAACGCTTTTTTGTGGATTTTAAGTGCATAAAAATCCATGACCTATTTATATCATTCATATCAGGAAAAACTTGGTAGTTTAATAATTATCATACAAAAATCACATTTATTTCCTATACAAAAAACAGAAATAGTCATTGTTGCTATAATCATTTATATTTTATACTCTTTTCCTCAGGGATACAGTTCAATGACATCCAATAACCACACAATGAACACGTCACCCACAGAATACAATTATCCTCTATTTCAGACTGGTGTCTTTCAGAATGCCTATTACAATAAAAAAAACCTCTGCCTATGTCTTCAGAGTTCTCCAAGAGATGTCTTCATTTGGGTTGAATTCTACATTGAAGTTTGATTTGTTCGTACTCTGAATAAACTGTATTGATGAAA